AATTACCCCCCCCAAAAGGGAAAAAAAGGGGGTCCCGGCCCCCCCCCTGTGGGGGGGGGTATCAAAAACCCGGATGCAAAATTTTAATTTGGCGGGGAATTGGGGGGTTTTTGGGGGGGGGGCCCAAGGAGGGCCCGGGCCAAAAGGGGGGCATGGGGGGGGGATGGGGGGGGATGTTTGGGTCCCCCGAAAGGGGGGGGGGGGGGGGGGGGTTATTTGGTGAGGTGGTGGCAGCCAAACTGCTGGATCGTGTCTGCACGGCGGAGGTTGGCGGCATATTCCATGGCAGGAGTGTGGGAAGGGGGTCGGGTATCATAGTAAATTGTGGGCGATCGTGGGGATTGTGGTTCCACTGGCGCTGTTGTGGATGGATTGGTGGCGTTTGGCGGGGGGAGCGGTGGCAGCGTCTGCATAGGTGAGAACGGGCAGTGGTGCAGGTCCCAGGGCGGGAGGGGGGTTGTCTCGTTTCCGCTTCAAAGTGGTAGCGAGGGCGTGTGGCTGTTGGCCGGCAGTGTTTGAGATGATCCCAAAGTTGTGCTCTGGAAGAGAAGCGTTGCACCGCGGGGTCGGTGTTGGGGGCTCTGAGGGAAGGTCGGCTGGAATGGCGCAGCTCCAGGGTTGAGAGTTGAAGAGGCAGCCAGATGGCGCCAATCAGGTGGCAACTGCGTCTGCAGGTTGGACTGCGAGGAGCATTCAGTGGACGTGGACGGTTCAGGCGCTGCGGCACGAGGAGGTGGCTCGCAAAGGAATGGAGTAGCGTGTCCAGCAGTAGGAGATGAGCAGTTGACAGCAAGGGCGGTGGTGGTTGGTGCATCAGCAGCAGGATGCAGGATGGAGCTCGTGTGGTTGTCGCTGCATTGGTTGAAGGATGGGTTGGAGGCGCCGGGAGCGATGGTGCTGGCGGAGAGAGCGGCAGGGGCTGGCGGTGGTGGCAAGTTCGTGGTGGGAGCTGGCAGCGAGCCCGGCTGACTCCCGCCCAGAGCTGCCAAACCTGCGGCTTGTTGAACTGGCGTTGGTGGCGTGTGCGCAGGCCATGCGGCGGGCATGTCGGCCGGGACTGCGGGGCCGACGGCAGCGGAGGGAGTCTCTGGGGATGGCTCAGAAGAAGGCTGGGCAGGCCGACTGTCGGCTGGTTGCTCGGGCGAGGTCATCGCGCGCATGCCAGGCCGCGCGCACGCGCAAAGTACGGCCGTCCCTTTAAAATGATGTCGTGATGTAGCACTCTGCTCTATTTATTTATTTATTAGTGATGTAGCCAATGAGCTCAGCCTTTCGCCTTATTAGAAGCTAAATAAGAAACCCGGCGGCCTCAAGGCAAGCAACAACGGCCCGGGCAGGTAAAGGGATGGCGACGACAACGGCAGCCTCGAACCGTGGACGCAGGGCTGGGACAAAGGTGCGCTGCAAGCCGTGGACGGCGACGGAGGAGGCACAGCTCCGAGCGCTGGTTGACGCGGGCACCAAGGCGCAGCAACAGAAAAAGGCGATGTGGGTCGAGATCGCCGCACAGTTTGGCAGCCGCACCGTGGCGAGCGTCGAGCAGCATTTCTACTACATGGAGCGACAGGAACGCGCCAAGAGCGGCACGCCCGTGACCGGCGGCGGCTCCGCACCAAAAACAAAGTCAAAGGTCAGCGCGTGCGCCGCCGCCCAGCCGTCAGCGTCCAAGATTGCCAAAGTGGAGGCGACAAAGGGCCGGCAGATCAAGGTCGAGGACGCCCTCGCGTACGTCGACCGGGTCAAGATGAAGTTCGAGAAGCAGCCGCATATCTACGACCAGGCGACTTTTCCGCCTCTCTCTGCCCCCTCACCTCTCACCTCCTCGCAACGCCTCTCCTCCTCTCCCCCGCACGGCCGCCCCGCCCCTCGCCGCCCCTCCCTCTCCTCCCATCCCCACCCTCTCCTCCTCCTCCGCCTCCTCCAGTTCCTCGACCTCCTGGAGGAGGCGGAGGCGCAGTCGATCGACACGCCCGGCGTCGTCGACCGCGTGCTGCAGCTCTTCCACGGACACCGCGAGCTCATCCTCGGATTCAACGTTTTCCTCCCGCCGGGGTACAAGATCGAGTTCTCCGACGACGAGAAGGCGCCGCGCGTACAGCTCAAGTACCCGCACGGCGTCACCGGCCCTCAGCCGCAATACAACCCGCTGGCGCAGCCGCCCGCGGCGCCCGTGCCATCCATCATGCCGCAGCAGCCGCACCCCGCCGCGTCGCTACCAGGTGAGCGATGACGATTACGACGACGAGGAGGAGGAGTACGTGGACGAGGACGTGGCAGAGATCATGCGACGGCTCGAGAAGTGCGACGAGGAGGGCCGCTGCTTTGAGTGCATGCGCAAGCACCGCGGAAACTCGCTGCCCTACTGGATCCGGCACCCGGCCGATGAGATGCAGGAGATCCAGGACGTCGAGTTCTGCTACGATTGCTACGATCGCGTGCGCAACGCGCGCCGGCGCGAGCTGGGCATGTCGCATTTCTCTGACGACGACGGCTGCGACTCTGACAGCGACGACTCCGATCGCAGCGACGCCTCTTGGGATTATTGAGAGACCCGCCACGGCGCGGGCTCGCTCGCTCGCTCGCTCGCTCGCTCGCTCT